TATATCGTTGATATATTTTTTTAGCTATGTCGCCCAGCCCTATTCCAGACTAGTTCTAAACTTTACCTATTAGCTCTCGTGGGTACTTTTATGCAACATCTGTCCCTACTTAACCTCACAGCTAATGTTTTCAAACCACAAGAAGCAGCGGAGACAAAAATCAGTGTTCCTATGCTTCAGTTATTCATTTATGACTCACCTCACAGTCAACTAGAGTACATAAACATTAAAGGAATAATTCATTCCCAAAATAAACATCCTGGCATCATTTAGCAATTACTCAACATCATGTTTTACCAAAGGCACCATATTATTCCTCAACCAAACATTTATTCAAGTGTTAACAGGGCTCGACAGTGCGACCATTAACCCTTGTGTCTCTTCTTGACTCTATCAGGCTTTAAATGCCATCAGTGAAGTTGGAGATCTACTCCAGCTGAAATACTCCAGAAAAAACAGACATGGGAGTGAAGGAACTGACCTTTTTTCATATCTGGAGAGCCACCAGGACTAGCACTTTGTCATGATGGACTGATAGTATCTTTCTTCCACCCCAAAGCGATTTATGTCATACTAAAGCATCATTTTTTTTAATGTTGATTCATTTCAGTGGACACTCATTGAAGCCAACCAACTGACCAAATTTCAAGTCTTACCTTTGGGTTAAGTAACCAATATTAATTTCATCGTGCAATATCAACTGTAGTAAAGACTCCACATTGTGTTCAGCATCGGAAATGACACAGGATAAAAGTTAATGCCTTAGTGTCAGGGCTAATTTATCCTTCTACACAGTCTGAAACAAATGAGAGTACACAAAATGATTTTCTGATATTTGATACAAATATGATCAGTGTTTCTGTCTTGTTTTCCATTAAAATATGTTAAATAAGATGAATTCACTCAGGATTAAGGTTAGATAATAGTCTTTTTACTCCGTTTGCAAGCAATGTTTTTAATAAATTTAGTAAAATTTAGTAAGATTTGCACTTTAAACGAAAAAAAAACAAAACAATACGCCAATGGATGACAATAAACTTAGTTCAAGACATATATTGTCTGAGAAGTCTTATTATATTACAGTTTTACTTTCAAACTAGTAAAGATTTAAGCAAAATTTAAGGATATTTAGATTTTTACTACAAAACAAGACAGAAATCCTGATTAAGAAAATGATTTTTTCAGTGTACAGGAAACCCCCACACTGGCATATATTTAAAGAAATCTACTTATGAAGGACAGAAATGATAATAAACCATAAATTAGAATGTGACTTCATATCCATATAAATGTATCTATAAAAAATATTGACATATATTTATTAATGCACATTGCAGTGTGTCTGCATTTAACTTATAGCTTTGCGTAAGTCCACAAATCTTCAAATATCAAATTTTTTTTTTTTCTTTCCACAATGCAAATATCACCACGTAGGTAAATCAGCGATGTCTTAATGAACTTGTCCAGAGGAATATTAACAACATTCTCTGTTTTGTTTCATCAGAACTTTCCAGTATGGAAAATTATGATGATGTTTTCTGTATTTTAATTTGAGTTGTGGTACTTTCCACGAATAGGGTACAGTTTGGTGTCCCTTATTTGTATCCTTTTTTTTTTTTTTTTTTTTTTTAGTTTAGTAAGCACTAGAGGAACAAAGCCCATTAATTAACCCATACATCTCCAAACATTATTTAGACAATTTTTAGTTTTTCATTTAATATTTATTGATAAATAGAAAAAATAACAATCACATAAATCCTGGGTCTGTTAAACTGTATTTACACATGTCCCAAATTTTGGTAATAATGTTTTAAAAACTGCAAACCTCATAAACATAACATATAATATTTAGTTTGACATTTTCTGAAGGTTATGCCTTACACTCACCATCTGTTTAAAAATGCATCTTTTCCCCAGAATTTCAGAAATCTTTCATTGAGCCAACAGAAATAGACTGACATTGTTCAATGTTCAACGTTTCATTCTTTATGTCTGCTGTTAACAGACAGCATTGAAAATGTTTGTTGCCTTTTGTATTGTTATATAGTTGCTTTTTGATTTGCTCATTTTAAGAGAAATCTTTAAGAATTTGTGTTCTTCTAACAAAAGTGCTAAATACGGGTCACTGATATATGATATGAAATGAGCTCTTGTCTGTATGTATGATGATGTGGCTTATGAATGCCTGTCGGATGTACATTTTTTTCACCGTAATGTTTTTTTTTTCTGCATTCCCTATTGTGTTTTTTGAGTCTTGTTCTTAATCTGAAAGGCAGCTCTAATTATGTCTCTAAAAGCAGACGTTTGTAAGTGGGACTATATGATCTCCGAGCTACTAATGACTGTTAAGAGATGCAGATATGACGTCGGCACACTGGCTTTAAGCAGCCTGTATAAATGCAAGTAATGCCACCGAGCTGCATTTGACTGTGAAACCAAAGGGCATTCCACAGTTTTTGTTTGTTTTTCTTATACATTTTGAGTTGCATTTTTTTCATCAGATATGCATACTATCACATTTGTCGCACTTCTCCATGCAAGAAACTGAAATTCGTTGAACGTGACTGATCATTTGTTTCTGAAGATAATTAAATGACTTATATTGAACATTGTTTTCTCCAATAATTCATTGTAGGTCATTGTAATCAAATCTCAGAATAAGCACAGCAATCTTTGCTCTTACTGGTTTTATAAACAAAGACCAATATTTTACTCAATAGTCGTATTCAGACTGTATGACATTTATGTAAGGTAAAGTATATTCAGGGAAAAGTTTAAAGTTTAGTTAAATTGATTTCATTATTGAAGACAAATAAGACTAAATAAAATTCCACCTACTTTAGCTTAAAAACTTAAGTTCAGCTGCTGCCTTAAATTAAGTATAATCAAATTGGCAAGTTACAAGGCATTTTGACTTGATTTTTATAAGCAGTTTAATACAATTTGAGTTTAATCTCATCTTTAGAAATTAAAGTTAAAATTGGTTAAATTATTTTAATGAGTTAAAGTAATGGAAAAAATTGTACCATGACTTAAAGGGATAGTTCACCCAAAAATGACAATTCTGTCATTAATTACTCACTCCAACCCTCTACGCACACATTGGCAATATAATCGCCATTGGCTAGTAAATTTTTCTGTTTACTCGCCAGACTGATATACTATTTTACACACACACACACGTTTACTTAGCTATCTAAATGGGGACATTACATAGACTTGTGTTGTTTTTATATACAGGAAGCTACGAGAATACTTTTTGTGCGCAAAGAAAACAAAAATACAGACAACATCATGGTAGTCTCGCGAATGGCGGCGGACACTGACAAGTAGGGATGGGCGTATTGATCCAAAGTATCGATATATCGATACTGACGCGAGTATCGAAAGTATACTCGCAT